ATTCATGGTTGTTATTGTATTCCTCCATCGAGGCTATAGATCACACTATATTTTAATTAAATATAAAACCACTATATACATTAAATTAAGAACACGGTAATATTTAAAATATCATTTAAAATTTATTGAATAATAATTTTTATCAATACTTAACATGTAGTTTACATTATTAAAAAAAAAAAAAGAGAATTAGTTAGACATAGAATAAATGACAAGTAAACTCATTTTCCATAAACTCATGAAAGAATGAAAATATAAGAGAGTAATATCACCAGAACGGATCAAAGTATCTCCTCTATACTCTTTCACCATTAACATATGGATTTGCTTCAAAAATACAAGCTATACACTCCAAATAATTGTATTTTGTACTTCTTTAGCCTCCCTTAAATTTTATTCTAAGAGAAAAGTAGAGAAGTTCTCTAAAAAGAAGTACCAAATTTTACACAAATGAATAAACTCCCTTACAAGCGTAACATTACAACTATTTATATGATAACAAAAAAAAAAGGCATCCGGCGCTATGATGCTTGAAAGAGTTGCACCTCAGCGCCATTGAAGTGAACTAATGCTTAGGTGCTGAAATTTTGCACCACTATGATGCTTATTGATGTGGATCGGTTATTTAGTGAATAACCACATCTCTTCATTGATAGAATGTGGCACTTAGAAGTCATGATTGCAAAGCCATAGCTTTGTTGACATTAGAGCATTGCAGCACCCGAGTGGCAAAAAAGGCACAATGGCGTGAGAGATTGTGGCACCGCGACATTTGAAAATAGAGAATTTGGTGCTACCAAGTAGACTTTTATACAACGCAGCTGTTGTAATATTGTGGCACTAGCTGTGTTGCTGTCACAACACTTACAAATAGAGAATTTGATGTTATAATGTCTAATTTGTGGTGCATTTACGGTGTTGAAGATGGCGTTGCAGTGTTGTTTTGTCGGATGTCGCGACGCTGGAGTCTACTTAGAATTTTTACCACTTACGAGTTTTTTTTTGTACAAAAATAACTAAAATAATACATTTTCATCAAAAATAAAATATGTTAAATAATATATAATTTACAATTATCAAGTTCTCCCAGCTTAAACTTTAGCTTTTCCTCAAGCAAATAAAGAAATCTATAATTCCAATTAATTAAATAACTAAAATAAAATTTAATAATTTAAAATTACTAAAATATATAATAATACATCACAGCTTAGAAGTAGTGGAAATGGACAACATTATAATTATAGTTTGAAAAAACTACTAACAATTATCCTAACCAGTCAACCTCATCATTGCTTAATTTTAATTTACATGTTATGAATATAATCTTTAACTTTTGAATTCTGAATTGAATAATGTAGCTGAAATATTAGACGCGTTTATTATTAAAATTAAAATCTCTTTAGTTCACCATAATTTGTACTAGTCTTTTAACTTATTTTTTGTGAATTTAGGTATAAGATTGCAATTAGACTCTAAGCTTTTATCTGATACCAATATTTAATGCACTCACTTTCTTTTTATTCATTTCATTTGTTTTTAGAATTCTTATATCAAAATTTTTTTTTAATTACATAGTTAATGATTTTAAATATCAATTTTACCTAAATTCTTCTTATAATCCTAATAATTTATTGTAAGAATTTAATAATATAACTAATTCCAAATTTAGGTTTCTATAACTTTTAATTTTAATCTATCCATATCTATTCTTTTACCTCAATTATTAAACTTCAATTCAAAGGTTAATGTATAAATGTACTTATAAATTCAAGTTAAGTCACTAATTTAAATAATTTAAGTTGGTTAATTATTAGTGTTTCCAATCTATGAATTATAAAGTAGTGTTTATTTAAACCATGATCTAGGATTTTATTATTATTCTAATTTTATATTATTTTTAATTATCATTTTTATTAGGGTTAGTTAAATAATTAGAATATAGAGATATTACTAGAAGACAATGTAAAAATATATATGAGGTGAATTTAATCAAATGTAAATAAAAATATAAATGAACATTACTAAATAACGCATGCTTTTATATGAATGATTAAAAAGTGTAAAATATGTGATATATATAAAACTAAAACACAGGGTATTAGATAACTAGTGCTTAAAACATCCTTTTAACTGCAATGGCTCTAATAGCCTTATCTGTTCATCATGCTTATACTAAAATAGTAGTCCATCATGTCACTGGGATTCCCCCTGAGCAAAGAAAAGAAACAAAATAAAAACATGCTACCAAATAATTGTAACATTTACTCTCTCTCTCTCTCTCTCTCTCTCTCTCTCTCTCTCTCTCTCTCTCTCTCTCGCTCCCTCTCTCTCCCCCCTTAAGCCAAATAAAATAACTCCTAACAAGCTAAATCTGGGTCTTCCTCCTCCTCATCAAGATCATGGCCTCTCTCACTAGGCTATCAAACAAAGGGGTCATAAAAAGGTGTAGATAGAAATTAAAGTTTATCTGGATGCTCCATAAAAGGGATGCTTCTGAATATTCCAATAAGTGCATCATTAAAGTAAGAAATGTATCTCTAATGATTTTCTTATTGGTCCATACTGTGGGCCATCCTCATCCTCATCTCAAACTACCTATCTTTAGATTCCTCATAGAAGTGAGTAACCTTTTCCATCTTTCCTCTTAATTCAACCACCTGATTTCCTAAAGTTTTGGGAGATCTAGCACTCCTATTGTTGTTATTACTAGGCCTTCCTTACACTCTAAGCTTACTAGGGTCTCATTCTTCCTCCTCTTTCTCAGATTGATTGAAGCTTATAATTTTTATTTTTGTAAGGGATGCTATGGAAATAATATTCTTCAATTTTCTCCCCCTAACACTTACTACAACACACAAAGCATAAACTTGAGAAGGGCACCCTAACCTAATGAAAGTGGTACCCCTAATGATGTACATGAGATAAAAGTAAATAAGTTTTCCTACATCAATGGAATACCCCATTTGAATAACATAATTCAATAGTGCATGATCACGGGTAACTTCACTAATGTTTTCGCTAGGTAATATACATACATAAATGAAATAGTGCAAGGCTTTTAAGGTTTGGGTCTAGTAGGTGATAGGAAAATTAATAATTTTGTTCTCTCTTATTTCCATCTTTCTCTAATATTGTGTCCACACAGAATATTTAGGATATCTTGAATGATTTAAAGGTGTCCTAATAAAAGCTGTGTATTTATCAAATTTAAATCCATATTAGCAATGATCTGTACGATTGGGTTGCTTGGATTTTGAAAACCCTCTCAGGTTTTAGTTGTTTGGTCACAACTAAATCAATAAACCTGGATTCTAAATCAACAAAAATGAATCTATCTTTATTAAAAGTAGAGGAAGTCTTCTTCTTTCCAGATATTTTAGGGTCCATCTTTTTTGAGAGGATTACATAGAAGATAAGATTGAAGGAAATGATATGTTGTGAATGAAATGAAAAACATAGCTCCCATTTCATAACTTGATATAGCACTGCGGAGTTGCGAGAAAATATGCCACAATGCTCAATATATGATGAAATCGGCAGGTGCTATAATGGTTATGCCATGTGGCGCAGCGGCACTAGTTAGAGAATTTATTGCTTTGCTTTGGAATTGGCCACTGCTACGGCTTATGACACGTGTATACGTAGTGGCGCTTATGTTAGTAACCTTTATAGTATTATTAATAAAATAATAACGCAAGTGTAATGGTGGTGCGATGTTAGTTATCATTCCTGTGAAACTTACCAAAGTTTCATAACTAAAGTTATGATCGCATAATATTTTTTTGACTTGATAGAACCACTTTTTTAAACTTGAATGGCTAGGCATTGTGGTGCTCAAATAATCTTCTCTGTAGCACTAATTAACTAAGAAAATAGTTATTCAAAATGAATATTTTCTAAGGTTTAGTACAACAAAGCTTGTTTTTAAAATTTTCGTGCTTAGGAGAGTAGCACTATGACATTAAAACACTCATCGATGCATGCTCAATTAAATTTGAGCTTATTTATTATTTACTAAATTTAGACCATAACTTTAATTATCAGAACAAAACAAAATGCAACATATGTCAAGAATCACAACATACACAACATGACTAATGTGAATTTAAATAATTAACATGACACGCTAAACCTAAATCAGGGTTGCCTCCCATACAATGCTCAATTTATAATCTTCATCCAAACTTGCTTAGATTTATCAATTTGGTTTAGATACATTGCTACCATTCCTCAAACGATTTTCACTACAATCTTTTTCTTTTTTTCCTTTGGGTTAACTTTAAAATTGCTTGGCAATGATCCAAGAGGTCTATTATTGACTGAAATTACAAGCTAACTTAATTGGATTTCCAAATTTTTAATAGAAGCAGCATGATTTTGTAATTGAGACCCTATCTACATTGCTACATCATCAAATGATGATTTTCTACTTCCAAACTTATTGCTTTGATTAAATCCTAGAGTATATGCAGGCCTAGGATTAACAATAGGTTGTTGAGGATTATTCTAATTTACTCCTTAATTATTTTAACTAGAACTCCATTGATTGATACCACTAATATAATTTGACAAATTAAAATTAGGATAGTTCCTACAACCTGGATTATATGCATTAGAGTAGGGATTATTTTTTTTCTTTTAATCAATCTATTATTTTCAATCCCTTGCATGTTAGTATTTTTAATTAAATTTACTCTTTCAATTGTAAAATGAGTTGGTTCCGAATTAAGAATTCACTCATATTATGCTCAACTTCATAGAAATTGCTACAATTTGTGGGCAGCATTAAGAAAACATCAAATTTATAAATTCCTACTACTCTCTTAGGATTTACCCTATCAGTAAGCCACTATAAATTATTAGTAGCAATTTTTTCTATTAATTCATAAACTTCCTTAAATGACCTAGACATTATGGATCCTCTAGCTGTAAAATCTTTGATTAATCTAAGAGATTCTACAAATCCATTATAAAATATTTAAATAACCAACCAATCATGTAAAGCATGGTAAGGGAAATTCCTAAGAATTTTTTTAAATCTCTCCCAACTCTCATAAATTATTTCTACATCAAACTGTGTAAAACAAGTGAAATCATTTATATGTTTGATCATATTTGAAGGTAAAAACTATATAACAAGAAATATATGAGCCAACTCATTCCAAGTGGTTATAAAGTTTGGGGGTAAGGAATTCAACCATATCTTAGCTTTATCTCTTAGAGAAAATGAGAATAATCTAAGTCTATTTTCATAATCACTAATACTATTATACTTAAATGTTGCTTAAATTTCTAAACAATTGGCTAAGCATAAATTAGGATCTTCAAAATGAGTTCTCCCAAACTAAGAATTTTGAACCATTTGAATTATGGTAGGTTTTAATACACAATTATTAGCTTGGATCATAGATCTATTAATGCTTTGATGAATTTTGTCTACTAAAGAGTTAGTTTAATCCCTAAGATTTCTAGAATGATCTTGATCTAGTACAGGTTTGTTGGCCTCATTTTTTATGAGGTCACTAGGACCAATCTAGTCTATAGATCAAACTAGACTCTAGGAGCTATCCAGACTCTAGGATCTATCTAGACCCTAGAATTAATCCAGTCCCTAGATCTACCTATAACCTAGGATCAATCCAGATCTTAGATCAATCTAGATTCAAATCAATCCTAGACATCAAAACTATCCAGACTTCAAACCTATCTAGATTTAAACTCCATTGAAATCTTAATCAACCTATATTTTAGTTAATTCAACTTCCTATCAAACTTTAATCTTATTCCAATCACTAAAAATCATTCAAATGATTGTCAATGACTTAGATAATTTGAATTCTAATATCTAAATCCAAATCAAATCTAAAAATTCAAACAAAAATCCAAGTCCAAAGGCATAGGTTGTGAAATCCCTTTTCAGTGATATTTCAAACACTTCAAACCCCAGTCAAATGAACCTCAAATCATGATCTATAAATTGAATATTGATTAGACATGTCCCTACGATATACCCTTCAAATTTGTGCTCAATCTGAGGCCTCTAACCCTAGAAATTGGATTAAAATCCAATGGCTATAAAATCTTCAAGTATTTAAGACTATACCACTAGTCCTACAACCTAATAGATTTTGACCTTAGAGCCTTTTCCAGAGCCTTTAACCATATCCAGACTCGTTATCATGATATGTTGAGCAATAAACTATATTTTGGTGGACCCACTTATTTCTAGTCGACTAGGGATCAAAATGCCAAAATGCCCCTTCAGGGCAATTTTGGAGTTTTCTATAGTCTTAAATAAGGCCTTCCCACATTAAGCCTAAGAACATCTTCCAAGTTTGACCAGGTCAACCAATTTTCACCAAAATACCCCTTAGGGATTTGAATGCTCTCTTCAATCAAAATGGTCTCTTCTTTGCATTGAATGACTTCCATTCAACTGAAAACATCAAACCAAACCTGTTGAACCTGGACTCAGCCCCTGGGTTAACTTGGTTGACTAAGTTAACCTGGGTTGACCCTAAAACTTTATAAGGATTATTAAACCCTAAAGAACTAGTCCTAAGGCTAACAAAGAGGGGGGTAAATTGATTATTTAAAATTTTGTTTAACAAAAAAAAAATTGAATTCTTTTTGAATATTTTAAACAAATTATTTATGCAGAAGTAATAATAATGTTACAATAACAAAAATAAGAGATTTTGACCATATAATAAATCACATAATAAATTAAAAAATTAAATGCAAAAAAATAAATAGAAATAACTCACCTTGCTTGGAACAACCTTTGTGAATCCCTCACAACTCCCCCTCAAGAGGATTTCTCACATTCCCAATTTCTCTCTCTTCCTGTCTAAGCTCTCTCAGATCAACTATATAGTAAAAGATTGTCTTAGGGGACAATAAGAGAGCTTAAATAAAGAGCCTCAAAAGAAGCCCTAATTTTCAACTTGCAATCAAAGATCATCCAGTATAATCGATAGATTGTCTTGTACGATTAGTATAAACTAGCTTTTTCATCAGTATGAGCATTTTTACCCTATCTAATTTGTTTAAGTATTTACACGGATCATCTAGTATGATTTTATGATAGTCCAGGACAATTAGTTTAAGATATTATATTGATCATCTAGTACGACATGGGATGATGAGTGGTGATATACATACCATCCTTTAAACCTCTCAGGATGTCTAGTATGATCTCCTGGATGATGAAAAGAAAACTATAATTTTTGTCTTGGATGATAGGAGATCATCCCATGAATCATAATATATCATATAGTATGATCTTATTATATCATTACGTATAATTTGATCAAGCAATCTAACCATAATTAGTCTCTAATAACAAGACCAATTTAGGCTTAATTGTCATAAATCATATAGGACGGTGAATATCATCCTGTATGATTAGAAGAAAAATTAGAAATTTAAAATATTACCTAAATTGTGATTGGCGGTTGTTTTTCATAATCAAAACTGATCATCCTATACAATATGAATCATACAATATGATTACTTTAATTATTCTTTTTTAATTAGTTTAGTTTAGTTTTAGCTTTGTTTAGTTTAATTTAGTTTAGTGTTAGTTTAGTTTAGTTAGTAGTAGTTTAGTTTAGTAGTATAGTTTAGTTTTAGCAGTAGTTAAGTTTAGCTAGTTTTAGTTTAGTTTAGTAGTTACTTTAGTTATTTTAGCTTAGTTTAGTTAGTTTAATTAGTTTAGTTTAGTTTTTAGGTAGTTAGTATAGTTTTAGTTTAGTTAGTTTAGTTTAGTTTGAGTTTAATTTAATTTAGTTTATTAGTTTAGTTTGTAGTTTAGTTAGTTAGTTTAGTTTAGTTAGTTTTAGTTTAGTTAATTTAAATTTAGTTTAGTTTAGTTTTAGTTAGTTTAGTTTAGTTTAGTTTAGTTTAGTTTAATTTTACTTGTAGTTTAGTTTCGGTCATCAATTTAGTTTAGTTTAGTTTAGTTTAGTTTATTTAGTTTAATTTAGTTTAGTTTAGTTTGTTTAGTTTTAGTAGTAGTTTAGTTTAGTTTAGTTTTAGTTTAGTTAGTTAGTTTACTTTAGTTAGTTTTGTTAGTTTTAATTTAGTTTAGTTTAATTTAGTTTAGTTTTACTTAGTTTAGTTTAATTTAGTGTGTTAGTTTAGGTAAATTACTCTTAATTAACATAGATGTCCTAATTAGGGTTTTTTATTTTTAACTAATTGTCTAGTACGATTGAAATCATCCTATACGATTAGGTCAAAAATCAAAAATTTCCCTAACTCACCAAATCACTTATCCTCTATGTGTGTATGCAAGGTTACATAGCTTGGGGTACACCAAATACATGACTTGACTCAAGAAAGGTAAAAAGTATATTAAAATTTAAATTACTAATAGACTCAACCATTGTCTACCCGATCTTGAGTTAATTGGCATTGCTAGTGAACTTATGGACCTAAAAGATTAGTGAGCAGGGAAAATAAAATAGATATGCAAGAATAAAAGTAGTAAATAAATAATAATGTTTGTTATCATCAAATTTACTATACTTGGGCTCATATTTGCAATTATCTCCCTCTTTTTTATGATGAAAAATATTGTTCTTAAAAAATTTCAAAGCTCTTTGACATTATCTAAAACACCCCCTTAGAAGAATTTCTTAAAGTAAGGGAATATAATTTTTTTAATAAGGAAATATGAGGCATACAAAAAATAGAGCAAAACCAAAATAAAAAATAGAGCAAAAATAGAACATTCTAAATTTCACTAAATCATAGGATGCAAAACAACACAATACTCCCCCTTTTAACATCACTAAAAGGAGGAAAAAGCAAAAACACTAAATGAAATTATCAGTGATAAAAGATGATCAGGAGGGTTTCAAAACAAAGAATAAAAGGCACAAAGAGCATAAAAACATAAAAAGAAAAATAAATAAATAACTAGTCATAAATTTGAATCAAGGAACACACTTTTTTTTTTTCGACGAACTCCAATAAATTATAAATTTCCCCTACGAGTATATTAAATATCAGCAATAAATGAATTAACAATGTTGAAATCCAAAAAGGGTAGAAAACTAATCTTGTTAACACTAGCTCGGACTCCTTACATGTTAAAAAAATTTTTAAACAAAAAATTGAATTCAAAAAATAAATTAGATAAGAAAAATTATCGTTTCAAACTTTGTTTTAGAAAAATATCAGATAGAAAAATATTACAAAGTAATTAATCAAAATCATGATTTTTATATTCAAGTGTTGAAAATATCAAGTGGTAGATGGATTCTTTTAAGATTTAAAGATTTGAAAGAGAAGGAAGCTTATTTCTTTGTGGGCTCATTTTATGTCTTTGTTTTAGTTATCTGATGCACTTTGCACATCTTTTGATTTTTGATACACTTTAGTGTATCTTATAATTACTTGGCGGTCATTACGCATCTTTTTAATTTTTGGGCTTATTTTGAGCCTCTTGTCATTTTTGCGAGAAGACTTCCTTTCAAAATCTTTAAAGACTCTCAATTGTAAGATTATCTTTTAGATATAAGAGAAGAAAAATATACCTCTAATATAAGGAAAAATAAGCGACAAATCAGAATCATATCCATATGATAAATGTAACAACCTAATTAAGAAAACTTTAAAGTGATTTAATGACTTTTAGCAATATTCATATGAGATATATTACTGTAAGAAGATAAAACATATCTCAATTTCAAAGTACAAATTTTTAATTTAAAATAGATTTTTCTTAAAAAAATACACCACTAAAAGAGTTAGAGGAAGAGTGAAAATCATCAAATTTTCTTTCTTTAACTATTTTAGAGGAGTCAAGCACTACTTACTAATTTCTAAAACTAAAGGCAAGGCAAAAATGTTATTTAAGAATTCATTATCAGAAGTGAGTATTGATGTGATTTCCCCTTCTTTTTTTTAACTTGGAATAACAACATAAAACAAAAACATAAAATAGAAACGCAAAAAAAGAATTCGACATACAAATAAAATAGAATGAACAGAAACATAAACAGAAGGCATCAATTTCAAACATGAATATCTATAACACCTATCTAGTTTTAAAGATGTTGAAAGTTTTGAAGGGTAGTAGTTTTGTAAAGATATCAA